ATTCTGTCTGGAGGACATACAATAGGGCTCCACGCAGGTACTGAAGCAGTTATGAGAACTTAGTATATCAATCAACCCACTGATGAGCACCTATTTTGTCTCCCTAGAGCTCTTCAACCATTATCTCCTCAAATCCTCACAAATGCTCTGTGTCTTTTACAGATTAAGCGGTCTAGGCTGAGAAGTTCAGTGACTGGCCCAAGATCACAGTTATTGGGAAATTAGAGACTGAATGCTGGCTTTGGGAATCCAAAAGCAACATTCCTTTACTTATTCTTCTCTCCCACTTCCCCACTCCACCATACCCCACTCCTGCTAACAGTTTATCCTCTAGCAGCCACATGTTCTGCTGGGTGCTGGCCAACACCTACGGAATAACCAATTAATGACCTTCTTGCGAAAATGCCACCAAATACACAATTGATTCAGTGTGGGGGTTAGGAACCTGACATCAGAAAACTATACCATAGAATGTAAGTTACGTTTCTCACATTTCAGAGAGTTTTAACTTCTACATGGGCCCCCTATCTGAGCACCACCAATACCATCTTTTCCATTCATGTACTTAGCTCATATACTAAAGAAGTCTGAATATCTTAAAGTCATGGTGCACTAACAACAAAATTAAAACGTGATAACTACCACAAGAAATTATATCTGCAAAGGGTAAGTCTGCGCAGCTGTCCAAATAAGATTTCAAATACACTTTTCCACAGAAGCACGTATTGTTCACACATTGCTTTTGATCTGAACCATGCATTGCTTCTTTGATTCAAAAGGACTGTATAATGACAAGAAAAACACTATCTGCTTGCCAAATCATTGTGGCCATCCATGAGATGGTTCCTGGGAAGGCTGCCAACGTGTTAAGCCAGGAGAACGTTGACAAAGTACAAGAGCTCCACTTATAAGGGATGTCTTTTTCTCCTTAATAATGCCAAGTAAACTGTTCTCTAATAATTCTCATAATCTATTCTATCCATGGAGAAACAGTGATAGTTTTTTAAACTATTCTTCAAGTGTTCTCAATTCATAAAGCTTTAACAGAGATGAACTGTCTCACCAGGTATTAAATAATTTCTAGTTTTCCAGTGTAAACACTAGTATTTCTTATCAGGTCATTTCGCATGCCCAAAGCCAGTCGATGGATTCCCTGGCACTGTATTGTGCCAGTCTCCATCCATCGTAGTCTCCCTCAGTCTACCTTTCCAGCCTTCTCTTTCACTGCTTCCGAGAGCATATTTTCTGTTCCAATAAAGAGGAACACTTGCTTAGCCCTCAGTTCTCTCCATGTTTCCCTCACACCTCATCCATTTGTTCCATAAATATTTAGAGACATACTATGTGCTAGGCAATGTGCTGGGCGCTGGGAATTTACTGGTGAGCAAAATAACATGGGTTTGCTGCCTTCACAGACCTTATAGTGGGGGAAACAAATAATTGCACAAATTAAAATGACTGCAGCTCAATAAATACTGAGAATTTCTGGAGCCATGAAGTTTGTAACAAGGTTTTGAAAGTAGTCAAGGTCACAGAGGCTTCCCTGAGGAGGTGAGTGGAGATCTGAAGACCAAAATTAATTAGTTTGGAAATGAGGAGAGACCAAGGGACAGTGGGAGCAGGGGGGCACAGATAGTCCAAACAGGCTTGAAAAAGGTTCCTTGGGCTGCAGTGAAGGGACCAAGGGCACAGTGGTATGAGAGGAGGTACAGGCTTTGTAAGCCCTGGGAAGGCCTCTGGTCTTTAGCCCAAGAGCACGGAATACCATCCAAACATTTACGTCAAGGAATTTCATGATAAAAACTGCATTTTGAAAAAAGCTAAATTTCTTCTACGGGTTTTGCATATATTAACCCTCACAACCACACAAAGTAGGTGCTAGTATCTATTTTACAGGTAAAAAACAAAAGCATAGAGAGACAGAGACACATGCCCAAGGTCACAAAACCAGACCATGGAGGAGTCAAGATTTAAGCCCAGTCTTGTTCCATAGTCCCCCCCGTTCACCACCATGCAATTGAATTTGGCAATTTATCAACTTATGGCTCATTAAATGGAGCTGGAGAGGGCAAGGAGTGGGTGGATTGCGGATTAGGAGGTAGAATGTACTCCTGCTATTCTCTACCTTCTTTGTGAAGCCTCTCACAGCTTGACGCCATTTCTTGATTCTGAGCCCTCTCAGCACCTTCTCCATCCTCCCTGAAGGTATTCAACATACCTGTCCTCATGTTGTAGCAAATTCTGTGTAACATCATTGCCTTTCTCCCATGCTTAGACTAGGAACTTCATTAGACCCACACATTTAAAGCCTCTTTAGGGTCTGCTATCATTAGACACTCAAATTTTAAAAGAAGTCATTAGGTCCTTAGAGTAGTAATGGACTTTGGAAAGTTAATAAATCCAAAGGGTGGTGTTTTGACCAGCATAGGATGAAGTTTTCACTGATTCAATGTAAAAAGGTGAATACAAAGATCACAAAGTAATTTTAATAAAGCTAAATTTATTCAATATTTTAATACCAGAAATCATAGCAAGTCACTTCTTTGTAACACAATGTTACAGTAAATTGTGGGTTAATTTTTTTGTTGTAGTGGTTAATGATCCTTCTTGGCAAATAATAGTTAAAAAAAAAAAAAGTTATACTTGACCTGTTTTTTTTGATTCATGAATTCCAAAAGGTTTGGAAACCACTGATTTAACCAGTCCCATTCCCTTACTTACCAAATGTGAATAAATTATAACTTAAAACCAATAGTAAAATATCTTAGTTAAAAAATAAACTTAAGTGATACCTCCAGACTTTATCTGTAAACTAGGAAGCAGGTGCTCTCAAAGTCCATTCCTTTTAACTATAATCTAAACTATAACTAAACTAAGATCTAACTATAACTTAAATTCCTTAGAGCAAGTCTAAAGCCCCCAAACTATCAAAGTCTTCTAACACAGTCTGTGGCAAGAACTGAGACGTTTATATTCAAATGAACATAAATGTGATTTGAAAACTATAAAGCCTTTTAAAAAAAAAAATACTGTGGCCGGCCCCTTGGCATAGCGGTTAAGTTTGCATGCTCTGCTTTGGCAGCCTGGGGTTCGCCAGTTCAGATCCCGGGCGCGGACCTATGCCCTGCTTATCAAGCCATGCTGTGGCAGGCATCCCACATATAAAATAGAGGAACGTGAGCACAGATGTTAGCTCAAGACCAGTTTTCCTCAGCAAAAAAAGAGGAGGATTGGTGGCAGATGTTAGCTAAGGGCTAACTTTCCTCAAAGAGAACCCCCATACATATAGTACTCCCATCATGTGATCAGTTTTACAAAGTTCTCATAAAGCTTTTCCTTCTATTATCAGGTAACAGCAGATCCTCTAGTCTTCCTTGAGAGGGATTTTCCATCTCACTGATTAGCTTAAATCTCTCTAAGCTGATGGCAAACTCTCCTTAACCCTATCACTAGAGAACCTGAAACTAAAGAATTTACCAAGCCACTCACTCTGAGCACAAATATAAATGGAGAAACAACACCACTGGGCACTAGCTGGGCTTCCCATCTGTATAACACTGAGACCCTGAAGAAGAAAGATCATGTTCACAGTGGACCAGGGAGCCATGACATGGTATGTGATCTTCTAAAGTAAATTTCTTTTTTTTTTAAAGATTGGCACGACCTAACAACTGTTGTCAATCTTCTTTTTTTTTTTCCCCCTGATTGTTTCTCCTCAAATCCCCCCAGTACCTAGTTGTATACTTTAGTTGTGGGTCCTTCTAGTTGTGGCATGTGGCACGCCGCCTCAACATGGCCTAACAAGCAGTGCCATGTCCGCGCCCAGGATCCAAACCCTGGGCTGCCGAAGCTGAGCGTGCGAACTTAACTACTCGGCCAAGGGGCCAGCCCTTAAAATTAATTTCTATATGTGTATATAAAGCAAAAGAAAAGTGCCACCTCTCCCAACCATCTTCACCCTTCCCTTATTTCATTCAATGTTTCAAATGTCTGAAAGTTCCTGGGTTGGGCTACCTTACTCTGCCTATTCTATGAAGAGGTTTTTTGGGTTTTTTTACTCCTCACTATAATAATAAAGAAAATAAATTTTAAAAATTTATTACTTTTGGAGTCTCATAATATCTAATCTTCAATGAGTATTTTAAATGATTTATCTTTATTATATGGAACAAAGAAAACATGCTGTCTTCCAGCTTTACAATATTCCAACTTCGCCTGTGTAATGCTGCTCACCTCACCCTCACTTCTGCCCCACTCTCTTCTCATCGGCTGGGAAATAACATAACAAAAACCAGAGGGGAATCTGATCTGAGTGTTCAAGGTGTGACACAAGCTGAGAGACTCTGAACCATTCTGAGTCAGTTTCCTCACAGGTGGAAGAGGGATAATATCACTTTTTCCAAGGCAAGTTTTTTGAGTATTATATGAGATATCAGTGAAGTAAGTTTTTAACCAGCGTAATGCAAAGCATGATCCATGGATCAGTGTCATACCCCAATTGTCACCTGCCCCTCAACAAGTACAGAGTAAGTTTTCAGAAACCTGAAGTCATATGACATTACCATGACACCCAAAAGCATGATCTTATACCAACATTTTGTTATGAAAACGTCTAAACATACAGAAAAGTTGAAAAAGTTTATAGTGGCTTGGCAATCACTGAGTTAACCAATCCCATTCCTTTACTTATCAAATGTGAAGAAATCATAACTTAAAACTAAAGCAATCTCGTGTTCTGACATACTTCCTACCTAGATTCTACAAATAACATTTTACCCTAGTTTTTCTTTCGCGTATCCATCTGTCCCTCATCAAACCAAATTATTTTTGTTATGCACTTCAGAGTAAGTCAAATACATGATTTTCTATATATTTTTTAAATTCACAATGGATTAGAAAACAAACACTGGTCCTTTGCTGAAGATCCCATATATCAAGAAACTTTTCTCTGAGAAGATGAGTGATGTAGACTAATGTTGACGCAGAGGTTGGGAGAAAAGATATTTTTAAAAACCAAATCATTACATTTTCCACAACACTAGCAGGATAGCAGAGAATGAGCTACTACCCTTTCAGATTCTAGGTTTATAAACCATGAATCTTGAGGACAGCAAGTTATCTACTCTTATTAAGCCAGGCCTACAGCAGAGGAATGAAGTTCAAAAATGAAAAAGGAAAAACTCTGGAAAGTAAATCAATCTTAGAAGCAAACATTCTGTTAAATCAAAGAAAAATGAACCCAAAACTTGTTGACTACATTTCCCTGGCATATAGTGGCTGTCAAATATTTGTTGAATGAATTTTGCAGTTTATACCTTGTAGTTATTTATTTTTCCACCAGATGGCAACTATGCATGGAATAACAATATAGGTTTTTCATCCCAGAATCTGATTTTCAGGATTGTGCGAGACCTCAAAGGCATAAATCCAATCATCCTTCCATAGCCTGAATTCTCTCACCACCACCACCACTAAAATGACATCCAACTCCTGTAGGGAAGAGAAACTCTCTGCTCTGAGGCAATAACCTGTCTATAGGCAGGACCAACCACTGGAAAGTTCTTTGTTTCCAGGTGGCAACATTCTCCCTACAGCTATCCTTCTCTCACCTAGTTCTAACTCCCAGAATAACAAAGAAAGTCTAAATTCTTCCCAAGGCCATTCTTCAAGTATTTGATGGCAGCTAACACTGTCTTCAGCCTTCCAGGCTAAACATACCTCAGACGACAAGACCCCCTTAAGTAATCTGGTAGCTATCCTTGGCACACGCTCCACTTTTCCTGTGCGTGTTCTAGTGGAGCATTCCCTTCAGGTCTTTGTTCAGTTGTCAATCTTCTTGGTGAAGCCTCCTCTATGTAAAATTGCAATTCTGCTTTCCACAGCTCCCATGCTACTTTTGGTTTTATTTTTCTCCACACCACTTATCATTATTTAACATATTTTATATTTATATTTTCTTCCCACTAGAAAGCAAGTTCCCTGAGGGCAGTGTGTTTTGTATGGTTCACCCCAGTGTTTCCAGGGCAATCATTATTTGTTGAATGAATGAAGTGATTAATCAATGAACCTGTCATTGCGTAAGATCTCACTATCAAGGAAAAGGACAGTAATTAATTCTAGTCACAAAAGCAATGTTATTAATGCAGAAGATACCACACACACTCAGATGACCCACTTAGATGTCCAATGGCTCATCCTGCACTTATTTCCAGCTATATTTTTATGAACGTTAAATTGAGTCTCTTCTCTCCGGTATTTGTTAAGCTGATTTCACGGACCCAAACCTAGGAATTTACACAATTCCCTTGTGAATTTCATCTATTGCCCACTGTTTCAGTACGTTGAGATCTTTTCACACCTTTAGTGAACAGGCGGTCTTAAAAACTATCCTTTTCCAGTGTGGGTTGCCCAATCCAGTGTGTGGACTGGCCTAGCTGTTTCTGCTTTTTTGGGTTTTCTTCTATACTTCTAATTGTAATTCACAAATTGTCAAAAAGTGTCTACTTGTTTTCTCACAACTCCCGTGGCAGTGTGACAGCGGTAGCAGAGAAACCAGAACTGGGAGAGAAAAGAAGCAAGCAAGTATGTGCACAAGTCATGCATAAATCAGAGAGCAGCTGGACACATGAAATATGGCTAAATGTGTCTCTTAACTTAGCGTAATAGCAACTATTATTTGTGTAGTGCTTTAAGATTCACAATTACACTTATATCTGATTACAACTGTGTGATGTATCCTTTTCCGAAAATTGACCCTCTGAGACAGTAGAGGTTCTTAAACTTGAATGTCCATCAGAAGCAGCTGGAGGACTTGTTAAGACAGCTCATTGGGCCCCTCAGAGTTTGACTCCATATGTCTGCAGTGGGGCCTAAGAAATTGCATTTCTAACTAGTTCAGGTGATGCTGATGCTGCTGGTTTAAGGACCACTGCGCTGAGATGCTTTGCCCTGAGAACAGGATATGAATGCAGGTCATCCAAAATAAAGGCGTCGTATTCTTTGCAATAGTTAACTGTACTTCTCATGCCTGGACTTTTAAAAAGGCTTGATATCAATTATTAGGGGAATTGTAAAAATCCTACCATTGGCAAACTTAAGAAAGCCTACTTAAAAACCCTCTAAATAATCTTCTTTTTTTTTTTAAAGACAAAAGAGCTACCAACTCCAGAATCAATACTTCCTAAATGGAAGCACCCATTCCTAGAGCTCAAGTTTCCTTTTCCACTCAGCTATACCCAGCCCACATCTTTACTCTCCCACATATGCCTTTATCTTTCCTAATTTCCTTGAAATCTCATGAGTTATCACCTCCCGCTGGCAGTTCCAATACCTTTATCTAGGACTTTTCCTCCAAGGCCCACTCCTTTAAGTCTTCAAAACTGGACTCATCCTAATACTTTCTCCTTTACTTAAAAACTAGCTTATTAAGCTAACTGTAGCGTAATGGTTAAGACCAGGAGCTACAGATCCAGACCAAGTTCAAACAGAGGCTCTGACACATACTGGCTGTTTAGCTTGGGGCAAGTTACTTAGCTTCTCTGGGTCTCAGTTTCCTCATGTAAAGAATGAAAATACTTATAATGTCTACCTCATAAAGTTATTGTTAGGATTAAATGAGTTTCTACTTGTTAAGAGCAAATAACAGCACCCTGGTATGTTGTAGCTATTGTCACTACCACCTTCACCATCCCTATCACAATCGCCAGCTTCACTCAGGCTGCAAAGCATTTTTGAGGGAAAAGCCATGCAGCATTATAAACGTGGGCACTACAAGATCGCGGTCCAAAACAGTAATCTTAAAATCAACATAATAGTAAATCACCACTGATGTAAAAGCAAATGGTGGGTCATTTTGTTCATAAATTACCACAATTGAGCACTTACCATATATCAAGGCTTTTGCTAAATTGTTACATTAACCTCATTTAATTTGTATAAACCTATATGTTCAGCTATAGGTTGGGTAGTGGACATCACCCAACAAGTACTTTGGGTTCCTCAAGTCGAGCATACTCAAAGTTTGAACTCCTCTTCTACCCCAAACTTGCTTCACCTAACTGTATTTTCTACCTCACTGAATGGCATCACCACCTAGTGGCCCAGGCCAGAACCAAGAAGTCATCCTGACTCACCCTTTCTCAACTCCTCCTGGCTCACACCCTCCTCTTCTATATTCACTGTGTGCTACTGAACTGGAGATGAACTGAAGACAAAGGTTGTGGGTATAAGGAAGCTATGATCAGTGTTACCTTGGTCATTAAAAAATGAAGTAGAAAATTCACACAGCAAATGAAGTCATGAAAGAGCATATTATCTTGGAGGTGGCCCACCTTATATTCATCTCACCCAATTCACTCCCCACTGCCTTAGTTCACATTTTTACTTTATCACTCTTAGATGATTCCAATAGCCTCTGGAATTCCCTGTCTTCATTTTCCAAGTTCCTTAATGAAAATTCTACATGACACTCAAAACTTCTTTACAAAACACTGTTGTTCACACTGTTCTCTCCATTAGAATGACCTTTTTCCCAATCCAGTAGCTCCATTTCAAATGTTACTTCTTTAAGTGTTCCCTGCTTCACTAGCTGAAATCTACTCCTTCATATTCCCAGAAGCCTCTATCACTTCCTTTCCATGAAATGTGACCCTCTATAACTTGATACTTAGATTTCTACCTAAATATTTTCAGTCAAGTGAAAACAAGCCAATCTGAAGGAAGCAAAGGATGAACTTGGGAACTTGATTCATGTAAAGGCTCTCTGGAATAGCTCTATGGCAGTGGTTCTCAGTCTTGTCTGTACACTGGAATCACCTGCGTAACTAAAAATACTGATGCCTGGGTCCCAGCCCAGAGGTCTTAGGTGCAGCCTGGGCATCAACCGTCTTAAAAGCTCTCCAGGTGATTCTGATGTGTAGCCAAGGTTGAGAAGCACTGCTTTATGGGGAATAAAAAAAAGAGTGAAGACATTAATAAAGGATTTTAAAATAGAAGATCTGGTGGAAATCAGTAGAGATGACAAGGCAGGCAAACGGTACTGTAGAAAAAGTCTAGGAGGCAAAGAATTCAGTGGCATTTGGTAGAGTTAAACTAATGGCTTATAAATGGTTCCAGGCTGAAGCTGGAAAAGATGAGATGGGCTGGGAAAGGATAGTTAAGGGAAATTCTGCTTGGAATGAGAACAAATAGCATGTGGTGGAAATGAGAGGTCAAATGAACTCAGAGAGGGAATTCTGAAAAAGACGCTGTAAGTCAGGAAGTTTTCAAAAATGACAGACCCTGATGTGTGGCAACAATCTGCTGAATTGGGAGGTGAACGTTACGGTTGTAGAAAAGTTTTGAAATCAGGGTTACCTTGGTCATCAATGACCAGGAAGAGGAAAAGTCAAATCAGCAGCTGAAATCATCAAGGAGCACGGTACCTTGGAAGTCTGACAAAGATGACAGCATGATTGTGGAGAGAGGTGTTATAGGTTGTGGAGTAGCTGTGAGAAAGGGAAGTTTTGTGGAGAGATTATGATGGAACAACTCTAACACCTGTGCATAGGGAAGAGATCATCTAAAGTACATTATCCCCACTTCCTCCCCCAAAAAAGAGGAATTTTTCTCTGTCCCAAAAAAGTTCTTGTGGTTTAGAAAACCAGGTATGTGTTTTAAGATATTTCTGTGTTGGTAATTGTAATAACCCATAATCTTACTTTTCGTCATTAACATTTTAAAAAATGCCATAAATATAAAACCAAATAAACATTCTAAAATACAAAAACTGGCACTCATAGGAAACGATGCAATAGGAACACAGGGTTGCCATTAAAATGACTCCTTCACAGTATCAACATAGGAGGCCTTCCTCTTTTTGCTTCAATGCTTCTCCAAACCCTGATTCCTTTCCCCTACTTGATTCTGGCACGCTGCTTCAAAAACCAATGAGTTTGTAAAAGGAGAAAACGCCTTCACTGTACACTAAGCTTAAACACCATCAGAAACGCCAGATCCCTGGCTCACTAAATCTTTTGATATACTCATAGTATTGTAAATGTTATGGCTGACCAAATTTCTACAAGATAACCGCATTATAACAATTCCAGAGCAAGAGGCAGGAATACTGTCAGTGTAGTGTGTCTCGTAACACGAGAAACTGTATAGATTAATTCCCCAAAGCATCACCCAATCAGAGATAAATGGTCTTAGAATCATTTTTACTTTAGTAAATATTAAACCTAATTTATCCTAGTAAAAAAAAGATTAACTTTTATAAGAAACATCAACCCCCTACCTAGCAGAGGTGGGCATGGGGAATCAATTTTATTACCAGAGAATGCAAAAGGATATACAAAGGAGAAATGTAAGGGAAATCCAGAATAGTACTGGTATTAGGGGCAAAATAATTCACATTGTAGTCCCATGTCATTATGGTAAAACATATTTGTATCACTAGGTACAAAAGAAGATGGTATAGCCCACAGGATAGGTAAAAATCTACCACAACAAATAACACCTAACATTTGACATAGCAGTGCTATTCCCAGGTCCTAGTTATTAAACCCAGAGTAAAAGTGGTTTATTGATCTGTTTACAACATTCTAAAGACAAGGTTTAAAACTGCTGTTTTGTTCTGACATAAACCGCTATGGAAAGCACTTAGTCCACCGCCTGCTACATGGTAGGCACTCAGCAATGATAGTTCAAGTTCACTGACTCGACCTTTCCTTCCCCACTTCAAACAGATTCTAACCACCCTTTAAAGAACATCCATTGAAAATTCTCAAATCAAGACAACAAACATTATGTTAAATGTTCAATGTCCTTATTAACAAGCGACAACTCATTATGTAAGTGCATAAGTGCTAACTACTTACACATGAAGGTAAGTCAGGTTTAAGGCTGACAATGATGAATAAAGGAAAGAAAGGAGAAACCAACGAGGGTACAGAGGAAGGACAGACAGAACACAATGTGAGTGTCAGTGTGAAGTACAAATTCTTTAAGCGCTAGGTCTATCATGGAACATGTACCCCACATGAATTTGCTAGGAGTACACGGATCTGTAATGATCCTGGCTAAGAGTACACAGAGCTGTCAAGTTCCTAGAACCCTGGGTTTGGGGACTGCCAGCACTGCTAGATGCATCCATTTCTATAGCTCCAATGATTGTCTTGGGCAACCAGTGGAAGTCACTCTAGCCACCCCCATAAGCAGAGGCACCAAAAGTGGCCAGAGAATGACAGCTTATCCTAGCTTAGGACCTGATCCTACGAGGAGTGGCTCCCATAGGGCCTCAGTGTCCTGTCTCTTCAATGTGATCCTTGGTTCCCCAGGAAATGACTTTGCTCTCCCAGGGTAAACTTAAAAAGGCACTCAAAACAGTTTTTCTGCTAAATCCTCCAGTACTGGTGCTATGCATATCTTTCAAGGCACATCTCTTAAGATTAACTTAGTCAAAACATCTCCAGGGCTGGGTATAAAAAGGCCTGTGGTGTACCAGCAAGGCATCGCTCCCATCTGGTCACGTGTCCAGATTTTGCTGTGTCCCATTCCCCCTGGCCTTAGATGAGCATCCCTCACCCCGTCTTTAAATAGTCTTCCTCTGCATTGCAGTAAGAACCAACTATCGCCCTTCTTTCCATCTCTGAATTCTGCTATTATTACCACCACTAGGCAACCCACAAAATTCCTCTTAGATCTCTCTAGAGATCTCTCTCCAGGGTTGCACAGGAATTCAAACCCCACTGTCAGCCCTGGAGAGTTCAAAGCTCCTCGTTAAAACTACGCATACTAAATTGTAATAATGAATTCTTGGCTTAAAAATCCTAATTTTCTATTTTGTCAGAGTGACTTAGGATGATAATTTACAAGATTAAGTTCCTATTGTTTTGTATGATTGGGATAAACTGCGCCGTTTTTCAGATTAACACATAACAGTTGATTATGAAAAAGACATTTATCATTATTTATTCATTCTCTCAAGAATATCTGCCTGCCCAGAACTGTGCTAGATCCTGGGAATATAGGGAACAAAACAAACACAATCCCACGATGTCATAATAACTTCTACATCGTGATTCTTATCTCCAAAATGATCTGGAATATTTGAAATATTTTATTTAATGGCAAAAAATAAACTAGGCAGCATGGTGGTACACATAAATAATTACACCATGACTAAATATCATAGGAATTCTTTATCATTTAAATCTCTCTACATATTATGAACATGTAACAATTAGGATAAGCAATATTGGGCACTGAAATATTTGCTGTTCACTTAAAAGCGCGCTAGTATTTTACTTTTAAAACTGCTATAACTATGCATATGCAGACCACATAAAATGTACTAATTGCATGAATAATTGCTTGAAGAGAACTGTTTGTCAATAGCGAGAGTAATAAAATTCTGCATAGCAAAATTTTCAAATCAAGAATAAAAAACACAGCACAATGACTTCAAAATTAATATATTGTACTATAAATGTAATGTCAAAAGATACATTATTTTTTTACATGCCAGGAAGAGTAAAATTCATGTTTTTCAAACTTAATTGATGGTTTCTGTATTATAAGGAACAAGCAAATATATTCACAATTTTCTTACCAAAATAGAGCCCAATATATGTACAAAAACAGGGGAAAAGTTTGTCCTTGGTTTTAACATGCATGTGTACATAGAAATATATGTGTACAGAGAAAACACATATACTCACAAGAGTAACATACATTGACAAAATATTACATTTAGCCAAGGTAAAAAATGAAACAAAAAATCCTGCTAGGCCTTTTTTCTGTCTTTGAGGCTTCACAAAGAATGTAGAAAACTACCAAAGCAACAAAAAAGGACACAAAGCACACTTCAAACAAACTGCTGGTCAGTATTAGGACCTGATTTGACAAACAGGTTTAATCCACTTCCTCAAAGGTCATGCTGTCAAAGTGAAGGATGAACTTCTTCCACTACTGAATTAGGCTGGCTGGCATTCTGACAAACAGGGTGCTCCTCCTCCTCCACAGGAGTCACTTTATCTGCCCTTCCTGCAGGAGAAAGTTCATTATTCGTCCCCTCTTCACTAGGTGTTAGGGTACCAAGTAATTCATTAGCCATTAGAACTTGCAAAGATTCTGTTCCATCTTCAACATCCACTTGAATCCCCAAAGCCTTAAGAATGTCACATTTGCACATGGGGCATGTCCCATGGGCTAGAATCCAGGGGTCAATGCAATTCTTGTGGAAAAAATGTTTACAAGTCAAAACACGAACTGTATCATTAGGCTTATAGAGTTCAAAGCAAACTACGCAGCTATCTCTATTTGCGCTTATTTCCTCGTCTCCCTCCTTTAGCACCCGAAGTTGAAGCTGGCTAAATGCTTTCTTGAGGTCTCTTCTTAATCGCTGCCATCTCCTGTTCTGAATCCTTGCTACCCAAAGTCTTCGAATATGATAAAAGATGAAATATGTTAAAGTAGCGGTTGTGACGATCACAAAAGAGACAAAATAGTGATTCATCCAGATGAAGTGTCTCCTCCCCACCTCAACCATAGCTGTAACGTGAACTCCCTTCTGAATTAAATGCAAGATCTCCATGCCTTTCAAGTTACCAATCATCACCACGACAATGTCTTCAAATACCTGATGAGACATGGGAAAAACCTGATTGCCAGTTCCTGGAAAGTTATAAATGATCACTCCGCTGGCTCCCTTCTCAACAGCCACTTTAATTTTCTGTGTGAAGGTACAACCTCCCCGTTCAATAAGTGCGAGCCACCTCTCTGAGTTTGTTGATCTGCCAAAAGTGGTGCTGGGATTACAAGCATTTTGAATTTTCCCTTCTGGTGGCACGATAACTCCTGCTATTCTCTTCAAAGTGGAGCTTCTTCCAAATACTCCAGTCTCCCCCAACTCTGACAACATACGATTCCCCACGTGAAATGATATGTTCATGTAAGCGGTCCAAACAGCACTGGCTCTGCAACAATTCTGACTAAGAAGCCAAAAAAGACTGAATCTTATAAGCCAGGAAGATGCGATGCTGTGTCTCCAACTGCCGATCTTGAGTAGTTTCATCTCTCACTTCGCCTAGTGACTGAAGGACCAGCCCAACAAAAAGATGTCGCTTCCACATCTGTTGACGATCAATTTAAGATAACAAAATGAAAAGAAAAACTTTGCGGGTGAAAATAAGTTCCACTGTCTTCCAGCATGTCTTAAAGATGTCTCATGAGTTTCAGATGTTTTATTAGAGAGAGAGAGAAAATTTTAAACTGAAAAAAATCCCAGTCTCACTACTGTTAACTCCAGATACTGCTTACTGTTGGGCGATGTGATTATGACATCAAAGACTCCACAGCCAACTAGAGAAGAGCTTGCAGTGTGCTGTAAATTCATTGGCTTAAATGTTTAACATGTTGTTATGGGTGATTTCTGTGATGTTATAAAACGGATTCAATCCCTGAGCTACATGTAATGTTAGCAGGTATCACTTTAAAAATTAGAAGTCATATAATGCATTTTAAAACCTGAAAGCATACGCAAAAGTGCCATATAATTATCATTTTTGTTCACAATAAATGAAGTTATTGCCAACAAAATGGCAAATTTTGAACATTAAAAATTAGAGGCCGGCCCTGTGGCCGAGTGGTTAAGTTTTTGCGCTCCGCTTCGGCGACCCAGGGTTTCGGTGGTTTGGATCCTGGGCGCGGACATGGCATCGCTCATCAGGGATGTTGAGGCGACATCCCACATAGCACAACCAGAGGCACTCACAACTAGAATAAACAACCATGTACTGGAGACTTTGGGAAGAAGGAGGAAAAAAAAGAAAAAATTGGCAACAAATGTTAGCTCAGGTGCCAATGTTTAAAAAAAAAAAAAATTAGCACGATGACCAAATATGTGGTAAAAGCAGTGAATTCTGTAACACCATTTTTGATTCACAATTGGTCACAGTGTGAATTTTTTACTTATTATGTAAACCACCGTAGTAAATCTGTTTACTAATGCTTGCGCAGAGGTGGGTTGGTCCAGTTTGGTTTTGATTTGATTTTTGAAATTAGAGTATCCTCTTAAATTATCTCAGCCTCACTCCCTCACTCCTCACCAACTATAGAGATGACAGCAATAAAGACAGAAAAGACTAATCTCATTTCTCTGCAGACCTTGACATCTGTTACTAAACAATATATTGAGAGGAGAGGAGGAAGGATGCATGGGAAAAAATTACATCTAACACAATACATTTTAAACAAAAATGTAGGTATTGATTTTAAAAAGAAAAACTTCAAGGTTCCCACTTAAAGTTAACCACTGACCACCCTAACTGCTAAAGGTCATAAATGCCTTTAACTAAATGTTTGCCAAAATCAACAAATGTCCCTGGTGGAAGACCCCACATACACACTATCAAGTCTGCGTACATTTTTGCTACATAAACTTATGTCAATGGCACAATATGACTTCACAACCAAAGAATGACTTGTGAGCTAACAAACATGGGCATCCACTGGTGCTGCCATATACTTTCTTGGGGGTATATCTCAGTGGTTTGTATTCACCAGTTAGGAAACCAGTCAAGGATTCTGACCTTGAACATAAATATCCCTGACCTCTATAAATAGGATGCAAAGAGACACTTCTGGGTGGGTTTCACCAGAACCAAGGGAGCTAGCACTTCTTATGAAATGTGAATCAGCAACAGGATAAGTTGAGGCAGGAAAGAGGGAGGAGAAAAGGGCCCTATGGGCCCAACAAAAACTAGCATAAAAAGAAAATATTGTTGTGAAAACTTTCAGCTCAGAATGGCCGATTTTCTTTCCCAAAGGCCATTAATCTGAATTTGTTTCCGCACAACTCACTCTTTAAAAAAAAGACAGTGTAGTACATTACAGACTCACAAAGTGCCAACTGAGTTAGACACCAATGGTTTATCGTATCATCCATAAAGAGACTGCCATCAAAACCTAAATCTTTCAGCCTCTCATTGTTACACAGGTGTTTATTCATCTACTAGGACAAAAAAAAAAAAAGCAAAATAAGGCAAAAGATACCACTTGGAAAGGAAATTGCAGGAAACTTTCAGCTCTGCTCTTTCTATATTATCAAAATGCCCCAAATAGAGACACACTAACCACCATTTTGAGAAGAAAAGAAAAGCATTTACTAGGGTCACTTGTAGAAGGGACATCTGCCACCATAACTGATCCACTCTGCTAGAATTCAGGGCTCTGGCAAACACAAAGGTGACTTTTTGCAAAGCTTCCCTAAATGAGGATTATAATCATTTAAAATACTTCTACATAACCAAAAGTGCTACCTATAATAATTATTTAGAACATATTACCTACCCAGTGGTAGCTTTGGAAACCATATTTCCTTGGTATTAATTAATTAACCACAGAGAATTGAATTAAGATCAAATCCTATAATGAAGTTTATTGTGCAGAGATATTATTAGACATCAAAAATATGAAAACAAAGTATAAAATTAATATAAAATACTTTAAAATATTATGACTAATTTGCTGTGACATCAATGTCACAATCATTATAATTTGAAGATAAAGACTAATTTGCTTTTAACATGTACTAATGTCCTCATTTGGATAAGGGCAAAAATGTTAACAATGAAAACTTATTAGAAAAACAACAAGTTCAAATGGCTGAGCATGATATGGAGTTTTATTTTAAAAACACACAAATTTTACCCTTTAGTACTTGGGTAGAGAAGCTGAAGTTGAATTTTCTCTCTACATAAAGTGCTAAGATAATTCATCTAATTTTAATCTTTGGAAAGACTCAGTTACATCTTCAGAAGATTCTCTGGGTTTCTTAAGTTTTCAGAATGTCGCACTTGCACATGGGGCATGTTCTATGGGCTAAAAGCCAGGGGTCAATGCATGCCTTATGGAAAAAATGTTTGCAAGTTAAAATACGTACTACATCTTGGGGTTTGTATATGTCGAAGCAAACAACACAACTGTCTCCATTTGGATCTAGTTCCTTATCCCCTTCTTTGAGCACCCGCAGTTGAAGTTGACCAATAGCTTTCTTCACGTCTGCTTTTATCTGTCTTCGCCTGCTGCTGGAAGAATTGGGCACTCTAGCTCTCCAGGCACAGTACAGAAAAAGGTAGACAACTGTAGCAGCCAGGAAGGTAAACAGGGACATGACATAATGGTTTATCCATGGTATGTGCATTCTCCCCACTTCAATGATGATTGTCACATAGACTCCTTTCTGAATCAAGTGCAAAAGTTCCATGCCTTTCAAGTTACCTATCATTACTGCGACGATATTTTCCGTTCCCTGGTGAGACATGGGAAATACTTTGTTGCCCGTACCTGGATAGTTATAGATGATCACCCCATTTGCTCCCTTCTCTGCCGCCACATTGATTTTGTGTGTAAAAGTACAGCCTCCTCGTTCAATGAGAGCCAACCAAGAGTCTGCCTGTTCGGGCCTGATGAAATTGGTCATAGGATTACAAGCATTCTGATTCCATCCTTCAGGGAGTACCACCACACCAGACACCCTTTCCAGAGGAGAATGATTCCCGAACACTCCACTCTCTCCTAATTCTGATATAATCCGATTTCCCACTTGAAACGTTATATTCAGATAGGCTGTCCAAATGGCTTTTCCTTTTGAGTCAGGAAGGCTAAGTAGTAGAAAGATGCTAAGCTTCAATAGTCGAGAAGAAACACAACTATGAGTCGAAGGAGCAATTCTAAGTAGGCTCATTCCTCTATTTGCCTATTAACTGACAAACAAAAAAACAACAATCATAAAAGAAAGTAAAGAAGCTGGCTTCGATTGTTGGCAGAAGATAAAGCATGTAAATGGAAAAGGTCTGTGTGGATCAAAGATATCTTGCTCCTTCCAGCATTTTTATTTTTGGTAGATTATCTTTCTTATAAATGAAACAGAATAACAAGAGTTGTTGTTACTACAATGTGATTTCAAGAAAATTATGACTTCCTAATGGGGAAATTGTGACATCAGAGGTAGTTAAGCCAATCCAAGTGTTTATGTCAGTGCACTGCATACTGAAATCCTATTGGCCAAAAAGCTACTAAGCAATGACTCATGGTATACAACAATTTGAATAAACTCTAAAGCAATAAATAAATAGATAACTTTTTTTAAAGCCTTGAGTTTCTTTCCCAGTCCTAGATAGATCGAAAAGCTGCCTAACCACTTTATATTCATTGTTTTTCTATCTGTAAGGCAAAGTAGTTATCATTCACATATTTGTGAATGTACCTGGCCAGTCACCAGTTCTCTGTGCTACCAAATATGCCACCCTTTGGGAAGCAGGAACAAATCATTCCCACTCTCTTCCAACATTAAATGCTTATTCCAGGCCTAAAGGTTCAACATGAGGACAATGTAATCAACTTATATTGTTAGCCAGATACACTGCCATCTTGCAAGGCAAATTCAACTTTGTTCCCTAAAACAGCTACGGACAACCCACTATGTGATATGACAGGCAAATATTAAGCACGGGTCATATATTAAAGAAAATAGATATACGCCTACTTTGTGGAGATTATCTAGCGAGAACAGATTTTAAACAAACACACAAATGTATAACTGCAGGTTGTGAAAGGGAAACACAGAGTATCAAAAGAAAAAATAAATGTAAAGGGGATTAAACTTTGATTAGAGGTCCAAGGCATTGCTCTCTAAAGAAACTGATGCTTAGTCAGAGACTTGAAAGATAAATCAGAATTACCCAACCAAAGAATGAGATAAGCCTTCTGGCAGAGGAACAGCAATTTCAAGACCTTAAGATAGGAAGGAACATGAGTTTGGCAAAGTCTAAGAGGAGAGCACCAAGGGTGATGGAGGAGGAAAGGCAAACAGCAATAAGAGGTTCAGGGTCATAAACATTAGACTAAGGATTTTGGATTATGCCCCAAGGACAAAAACAACACACTTAAGGGTTCCAAGCTGGAAGGTGACTTATAAGTGTTTTCAAAATGTTCTCTTTTTAGAAAGTACACTTTGGCTGCCTTCTGTGGAAAATGGATTGGAGGAGAAGACTACAGTATGAGATGAGGTTAGGCAAAAGACAACAGTGGCCCAGACTCTTGAAATAGCAGTAAAGAAGTGAAGATATAGCCAAGTCTGAAAGTTACTTTAAAAGTTGAATTAACAGACATGGTAACTGGAAGGGTAGCAGTAAGCAGAGAAAAGGATAGCCACAAGTATCATAAATCACTATATTACTTTAGCGCTGCAAACAAGAGCATCTTTACTGCTTTAAACGTGCTTTAATGCTTGCTTGCTTTTAATTCTTCACCTGGAGTCTGTTTCAGGGAGTGAATAAATTGGCAACACTCACTCAAACATTTATTTAATACATATATAGGACACATCCTATGCACCAGGCATGCCATAAAGCCCTGGGGACACAAAAAGAAAAGACAATCCTCATTTGCTAGTGTGCAGAATGGACATCAACATTTAAATCACAGGCATATTGAGAGAATTTTGTCATTTTGGCAAAAGGATTTATTGTACTCTCTGGACCATAATATTTTAGTTAATATTTGATTTTAAAAATAAAATTGGAACCAATCAACTTGCCCTTTCATACAATTTTATTTAGGTATCATTCAGTTCACATCTGAACTGTCTTTACATGTAGACTTTTCCCAAGTTCATATGGAGTGGGAACTCCTGGCTTATTCTATTAACATTGACAAAGTGAAGCCTTACTAAGAAGACAGTTTATATCATCATATTAGAGGCTGTTTCTTAGATTTGTGATTATTTAACCTTTCGGGATGGAATTTAAAATATAATGTAGTTGTAATTTTGCTTTTTAGTTTGCTGATTTTTAAGGGTGAAGAGTTTAAACAGTAACCACACTTTGGCTCAAAACATATATCAACTCTAAATGTTCTTCGTATGATTGAAAAGACTGATTTGAAGAATTCAGAGTATTTTTTTCATTATAAGACCTGAAGTGGTTAAGGCAACGATAAGCAGAACTTCCCCTCTCTCCCACGTGAATCTTAGAACAAATGCACCTATAACAAACAATCCTTTATTTCTAACACAGTGGTTTCTCAGATGGGGGTCAATTTTGCCCCCAAAGGATATTTAGCTATTTCTGGAAACATTGTCTCCAGATTGTCACAACAATGGGGAGTACTACTGGTGTCTAGCACCTAGAGGCCAGGGATGCTGCTAAACATCCTAAAGCACACAGGACAGTCGTGTGAAATAAATAATTATCTGGTCTCAAATGTCAGTAGTAACATTAAGAAACCTTGCTCCAACAGAGCAGGCTTGGGAGGGAGAAACCTTCCCGAAACTCTCTTATCCTTGATGGACAATCAGATCTAAGCTCTTATCATGCAGTAAGCTTTTCTAATTGGCAATACATCCATCAAGGATGATATCCTCAACTCATCTTCATTTCCACAGTTCCCCTTGGAATAGGAACAGTGAAGACCTCCACGAGTGACCTATTAGTCCATGAAGCCTGACTACAAATCACATCCATTTTATACTAGAAACAGATCCAAGATGGTTAAATGGGTAGGAAGAGTGGTAGGCTGGAGGACTGATGCTACTCTCACCTGTTCCTTTTAGACCATTTATTCAATGCATAGACCTCCTTTCTTTTTAACAGCTAAGTAGTAAAGAGGTTTTCATTCTGCTGAATTTTGCAGATAGGCTACAGAGAACTGAAATATATTACTAGGGTGGGTTGATCCAGTGGTTCAAAAACTCCCTGCTCCTTCCCTCTTGCCATTCTGCCTGTTTAAGTATGTTGATTTCCCTCTTATGTCAGCTGACTTCATGAGGATCCCCAAGGTGGATATTATTGTTCTAGGTATCAAGAGGCAGAATAGCAGACAAGATCCAGAAGCACACAGACTTTTCTACCATCTCTATATAAGAGCAAGGAATTTTTTTTCCCCCCCCAGAAACCTACCAGACTTCCCTCAATGTCTCTCCGGCTATCAGTACTTCATAAACCCATGCCTAAAGGAACTCCTGGAAATCGGAGTAGAGTCACCATGATTGGCTCAGGTTAATCATGATTCATCCTGCTGTGGAGAATCCCTTCCCTTGGCTGAGCACATGGTAAGAGAGAACACGAAGATAATCAGTCCTCTGCCACCAAAGGAAAAAACGTGTGAACTGGAAGGTGAGTAGGTTAACAAAATGGCAGCTACAGGTGCTAAATTCCTGAGGTTTACCCAAAGGAATGATACTTACGTAATCATTAACCACAACAAACTTGTAGTACTTATTACACTCAAGGTACTGATATGAGCTGAAGTCTATGTTACAGAGGACACAACATGGCCCTGTTCTTAAGGAGGTCACCATCTAAACAGGAGAGTTATACACAAACTAGGTGTATCCATCTATATATCCTATGATTCTGGGTTCCAATTAAAATTTCAAGAAGGTTATAATTTTCATTAAGTTTGGTAGAAAAAAATCAGCTGATCTATCCCTCTGCTGTTTATCAGCCTCTGTTAAGAATGCTCAAACTTCCAGAAATCTCTACCCTGATAAGAAAAATAGTCAAACACATTCACATAGCATTGCCCAGGGACTATCTTCGTGATGCACGGAATACCAAAGAGGCTTCAATAAATTAGTCCGCAAGTTGCAGTATCCAGGGCTATGATATTATTAGAGATCTCTTGGAATCCACAAACCACACTGAATTTGCATTTAAGCTTGAAAACAACTGTATAGGTTTTCTGCAAGTAATTAAATGCACCATAATGGGATTTGGGAGGAACAGAATACTGACTAAGTAGTTTACTGAGAACAACAAAAAAGGAAATAATGCTAATGATAAGTATTTTCCAAAAGCAGAATCTTTATTTTTAAAAATTTATAAAGATAAAACTAAATTTTAGTTTAAATTTTATTATATTTGTTTGCAAACTGGTAAATCCTCAAACATTAATGTATTTTCTTTCTCCCATAATAACTTAATCACTACTCCCATATATATTCTCTCAGACATAAGCAACAAAAAATTTCTTATATTCAAGTATACTTTTTCCTCTTGATATTTCAGAATCCAAGGAAAAGAGTGCTGAACATGCTAAAACAGAACAGTAAGTTTTGAAAAAGTAATGCGCTTCTGAATTACGTTGACAGTCATATAGTATAGTAGGGAAGGTCCAGATAAGTGACACAACTGGGAGGAAAAATATGGGAGGATGGTTTAAGATCTCTGTTAACTTAGCAACAAGTACACACGAATCTGAGTTTTTACAGTAGATTCCAACCAGGAGATTAAGTGTGACAGAGGAAGGTGATGGAGGTAAGAGAAGGCAGTAAGAGCAGACAGGACAGCTATTATCAGAAGGCTCTTAACTGAGGTTAGCATCGCCAGAGGTTCCAGCAGCATGCAGCTCACAGACAGCACAGAGCTCATGGCAGAGGCAGCAGGCCCCAGGAGTGTGGTCTCATGAAGCCAAAGTTTCAGGGGCAAATACTAGCAGAGAGCTGAAGCAAAGAGCAGAAGCGGAGAGCAGGGACCCTGAAAAACCAGTTCACGGTGGGACCAGAGCCAAATCTAGTTGATAAGTAAACTCAGAAGCTTCTAGAAGAAGGGTCTCGAATATTTCCCCTATTTAGATCTGGGCTCTGCTCCCAGGCCAAAAGGGCCTGAATTTAGGGTTCAGGAAAAGGAAGTTTAGCTGCCGAGATAAGAGGAAAGAATATGAATGGGGTCCCAGTAAGCTATTTTACAGACAGAAAATCACAAGACTTACACAGGCTCTTCCTTCGTTATTATTAATATTAACCAATATAACTTTTAATATCATTAAAAGCTCTGGTAATTAAATATATTAGAGAAAAAGAAACATCTAAAACAGACAATACATTTTAAATTATATCACTAACCATGATTACTTCACTATGTAAACCAGGATTATTATTCCTATTTACCTGCATGCCTAATGGTGGTACACATGAGGAAAGTTTAATTTGTATAAGAGCTCTGAGAAGCCTTTGTGACATTAAAGAAAAGGAATACTCACCAACATTTCTCAAACACCTAACACGATGCCTGGCTCAAGAGCTTGTTTGAATGAATGATTAATACGGTCAGGTTTACCACACTTGAATACTTTCCAATGCTTTAGTTTGGCCTTCATAATCATTCCCACAGTCTAGAATTTTGCAATAGCATCTTATCTAATCTCCCATCACTGTTTTGCTCACCTTGAAGTCATTCTGTTGCCATGGCAACCTACAGGAAAAAAAGGAATGAAGTTTACAATGGCATTCCTGTTTGCTTAAAACCTTAAGATGGCTCCCTCTATCCACAGGATAATACTCAAGCTTCTGGGAATGGGATATAAGCCTCTCCAGCCTGGTTCTCTTTCCTTCCATCCAGCCTCATTTTCTACTATTATCAGTCCTGAAATTTACGCTTCTTCAATTCAAATGGCATAGAGTTTCCTGTGCTCCCATTGCAGCGGCCACTATATATGACCTTATACAGGCTTTGTTCCTTCCAGAAAACTTAATCTGTCTGTCCCTATGGTGGGTACACTGATTAAAAAATGGCCCCAATTGCTTTCTCCCCTGTACCAATGCCCTCTGCAGCATGACTCAGCAGGTCCTTCCATCAGGAGGTGGGATTTACTTCCACATCCCTTGAATCTGGAGGGTCTGGTGATTTCAGCTGGTGAATAGACTTCATCGGAAGTGAGATGTGCCAGTTCCAAGTCTAAACCTCAAGAGGCCTTGCACTCCTCCCCTCACTCTCTTGGAACCCTGCCACCCTCAAGTGAAGGCAGCTAGCCTGACAGAGGAGGAGAAACTACTCGGAAGAGAGCCAAGCTGTTCTAGCTGAGGCCATCCTAGATCAACATACAGATGGGCAAACATGTGCAAGAGCCCAAGATGAGCAGAGATATCTACATGATCTTCAGGTAACCACAGACACATGAGTGAGTCTAGCTAAGACCTGAAGAATCACCTAGTTTATTCATGAACTCCTGAGCAATAACAGATGCTGACTCTTTTAAGCCACTGAGTTTTGGGGTGGTTTATCATGCAGCCGCTGATATAGTTTCCTCCACAAAATTATCTACTCTATTCATCTCCTTGAGGGCTGAGATTAAGTCTTTTTCTCATTTGTTTCAAGCCTCAGCTTCCAACACAGTATTGAGCACATACTTAATATGTGCTCTCAATGAAGAGTGAATTAAATTGATAGTCACTATCTTCTGTATTCTAACCTGCACTATTCCTCATGCAATAACTTATCTATTTAGTTTTATCTTCTTAAGGGTGATCATTTCAGAGTACAGAAAAGAATATGCATAATGAATTCAACCTTTAATTCTTCTAGAGATTTAATACTCATAAAACTGGATTTCTTCCAGCCACACCTGAAAGTAAAGCTAAATGAGCATTTGGAATATGACCAAATCCCTTTAAATTTTAATGGATATAAATCAATAAGTTATACTCTCTTCTGCATTCTGAATTTAAGTCAAAGTCTACATAACTTTAACACTAAATTCAAAACAACTTTTTCTTCTCAATCTATCAAGTTAGAACATAGAATGGTCATCAATAGTAGAAAGACACTGTTACTAGTCTGGGAAGTAATGGGGGAAAATCCTCACACTGCGGCCTCTGCATTAAGAGGGATGTGGGAGGAGCTGAACATCCTTAGGTAAACACAGTGTAAGGACAGTATTTGGTGGTACTGTTATCTTTGTTTGAGCCTAGGACAAAATACATCTTAATATTAACACAACCATTTAGACTGGACTTTTGTTTGAAAAGGTGGAGAATATGCAATATATTCAACAAAGGAGAAAACATATCCAAGCAGAATCTTCTGAAGAACCACCAGAACTTGTCCTGTTCTCTTAACAGACTATTCTGCTCCTTTAGTTAATAAGAGCCTAGGATGAGGAGCCAATGGGTGTGGAGGATGCTTTTGGGGCTTGGTCATTTCAAAGTTGACCAAAAACCCTAAAGTAGATTCTAGACCTCCCTAAGTCACAATCAGTCCCTAAAGGTTTGCATAAACTTTGCGTTCCTGAGACTAGTCCCCATGGAGTGTGGTTAACTCTGATAGCAGCACAGAGGAGAATAAGGAGATTTTCCCATTTAGATCTCTTACATTTTCCCAATTCACAGGTCACAAAATCCTTACTCATTTATTAGGCAATTTAATCCCTCCTGGGAGGCAGCAGAGAAGAAAAAACACCAATACGGAGTGACCACACTGAGTAGAAACTGTAAGGAAGCACACAGCTGTACCAAAGACCTGCTATGAAACCCAGTCTCTGCCACACGCTGGCGGTGTGAGGTAAGCCAAACTGACCTCAGTGCTGTCATTTGTAAGATGGGGAAGTAATGCCTGCCTCCTGAGGCCGTGGTGACTATTGGATGCCCTATTTCACATCTGTTGGTAAATCACCAAGCACACTGCTAGCAAGGCTGGGGCTCAATAAATGGGCCTTTCTTCCCCTTCCGAATTCTATAAGGCCTCTTTGCTCCATTCTCCACCCAACACAATTCTTCTCATCCTTTGAGACTGAACTTAGTCTCCCTTTCTCAATCTCCCCAGCCAAAACCACCTGCTTTCTGTTTGCACCTATTTGACCGTCCTTTAATTCTACCATATTATATAGATGCTTATATGTCTGTCTATATCTTTGCTTGACTTCAAATGTCTCATGAGGAGTAGTGTCATCTATTTTTATAAATTCTATTCCCGCCTCCTTTCCCTTACACTAGCACCATAAAACTTGCTCAGGGTCCCTGACAAATGTCTGACTTTTCAAGCACTTATTCTTCAAAATATTAAGATATATCAGCAGCTTTGGCAACCTCTGTTTTATACAGACGCCCATTTAAAAAACAAATTAGAATGGGCAATGATTTGACAAGTCTTCCCTCAGCTAAGAATTACTGTGACAACAGTTGTCCAGAAAAAGGCTTATTTAATATCACAGGATCAGAGGCCATCTGGCTTACATTTTCTCTCCAAAAGTCAAGAATAAATTCCATCCACATCTCTGTATCTGAAAAATGGAATAATACACAGCCACAAGTCACAACTATTCCTAACATATAAGTACACCCTACTGAATTAAAAATCCTCTTTAATTATCTTTCATATATCAAGATATATACATATACCTCAAGTCATAAACCAATGCTCATTATCAGGAGAAAATGACATCAGATTAATTTTGTACATTTCAGTACCGCAAAGAAAGCCATAACATCATATCAGCAGTAATACTTAAAGCAAAAAGTTGTAAATACAACCAACTTTCTCATCAACGCAGAAGGCTTCTATCCCCAACCCAAGATGCAGTCACATCCTGCAATCCCCAGAAACCTTCTGATGAATCCAGTCCAAATTATGCTCTTCCTACTATAATCTATCAAAGTTACAAGATTTTGTATAAAAAAACAGTATATACAATATATATATTTTTAAATAAAAATAAATCAAATACCATGTATATTAAGAAATAAGCACTATTTTCTTGATCATGTTTCTATATCCTTAGAAAATTATATACTGCCTTGTGGTATTTTTCATCAGGGTATTTAAAATAATGTTACTTTTTTCCCCTGTTATGAAGGCTTTTTTGTTCTCTCAAATTATAAGTTCCTCAAGGGTAGGACTTTGTTATATTCCTTTGCCTTCCTACAGATCCTACTACACTTAATTTTTTTACACTTTTTTTTTTTTCTGAGAAAGATTTGTCCTGAGCTAAGGTCCCTTGCCAATCTTCCTCTTTTTTTGCTTGAGGAAGATTAGCCTTGAGCTAACATCTGTGCCAATCCTCCTCTATTTTGTATGTAGATCACCACCACA